TTTACACGAAATTCCATAAAGGATTGTTTTACTTTTCTCTTGCTGCTTAGTAATTCATTGTTTAATATAAGGTTTACTGGGGGCTGAACTTATATTATCAAAACTTCAAATATAGTTAATACAGGTATAGATAATACAAAGAATAATGAAAAACTAAGAGAATTTTAAAAAAGAGTTTATAGGGGTAAATGCTACTCTCATCTTAAGTATCAATGTCAAAGGATTATTAAGTAAATCTCTAAAATCCTTGTCGTTTTTCCTTTCCTTTTAATTTTTTTTTATAATTTATTTTTATGTTAAATAAAAACTCCAGAAATCAGTTTAGTCTCGTTTGCTAAGTTATACTCACAAGAGGTTAAACTTTGAAGGTATTACTTTAGTTTTAAAAATTAACCGTCTTAAGGTAGAAATGCTGTACACTAACAAATAGTAAAGTGCTTTTATATGAATTCACTCTCTAGGTTAATTTAGAGAAACCATAAAAAAATATTAACTCTAAGTATATAAAAATGGTAGAGGCTAGATTTGAAGATCCACTAGAGCAATAAAAATTTAAAAAAAAAAATTATTGTTGCTAAATCTAAAAAGTTAAGTTATATATTAAAAAAAATTGTATTAACTTTAAGTCAGTAAATGGTTATCCAAAAACTTATTTTCAGTAAAAAATTATTAAGAAAATTTTGAATTAAACAGAAACCAGAAATTTTAACAACAATTAAAGTCTGTCACTAACCAATATATATATATTTAATAAACATATAAAAATAAAACAAAAAATTTAAATTTATATACGTTTAATTTTGTTTTGCAAAACTGATAGTAACTAAGAAGGCGACTGCATTATTTAACGATAGTCAAGTTGGTTTTGGTGATAAAAAATCCGAAGTTCGACTTGAAAAATTGCGAAAGAAAACTGAAATTCCAAATACTATTATTATTATCCCAATAATATAAATATAAATTTTTTCATTAAAAATAAGATGGCATAACATAAATTTAATTTGTAAAAATTTCCTTTCAGACAGAGAGAGATTTCGAAAACTTTGTTCATTACAATCATAATAGAAACTATCGTTAGGAGTTTCTTTGTAATTATTATTTCTATTTTTTAAAAACTTGTGAAAAAACTTATTTTTACAAATACGCAGAGCTCTTGTAGAATTTAAAGGCTTCTCGTTTGACAATTGAAGATTTTTAGTTGTGCCTAAATTTTCTAATATAAAATTACCTTCTGAATTTACAAGGGGCACTTTAGTATTAGTGAAGCACTGAGGACCATCTTTTTTAGAATCAATTTCTTGTAGATCATTATGATTTAAATCACTTTTCTTCTTATTTTTAAAATCTTGCAAATCCTTTTCTTTCAATAAATTTCTTTGAAATGGTAAATTTTGTAGTTTTGCAGTATTCGTAAAAACCTGAGAATCATTTTCTTGATCGTTTTGATTTAAAACACAATTTTTTTTATTATTAAAATCTTGTAAATCTTCCTTTTTCAAATTATTTTTATGTAGTTTTTGTACTTCTGAGTTATGGCTTTGCGTAATGGGAGAATCATTTGAAAACTCTAATTTTTTTGAGATGGACTTCTGAAGACAATTTAACTCTTTATAAGCATTACTAAGTTTTATAGTTTCTAACTTTTTTTTATCACTATACTCTTCGTGACGTAAAATTTTATCTTCGAAGATTTCGGCTTTCTTAAAAGAATTAATTACTTGAGATGAATGTTTTAAAGAAATGTTTTCAACCGTCTCTCTTAATTTATTATTTAATAGGGGAGAAAAAATCTTCTTTATTTCCTATTATAATAAATTTAAGAGATTAGATTAAAAATCATAAAAATCTTAAAAGTACTTTGAGATCCTTCTGAAATTCTTCAATCTTTTGCTCTAATCCAGCACGTGCTTTGTATTTATATAAAATTATAAATATATTTTTATATTTAATTATACTTTTAATTAAAATTTTTTACCTTCTCTTTGAGGAGATATGAAATCAGAAAGAAAATCTTTACCTACATGATCCTGATCTAAAAATATATTTTTTGAAAATGCTCAAAATTAATTGAAATTAAAGCAAATAAGTTTTTTTTACTCAAATCTATTAATTTTGGAGAGTCAGAACTCGTTGGCGTAGTTTGTAAAATCTTTTCATCTTCGCAAAGATCAATAGAATTTTTATTAACGGGCAAATTTTGCTCATATTCGGTAGATATACTATCACATTTTTTGAAATAGTACTCATAATTCGAATCTTTATGATAGGATTTTTGTTCCACAGATTTAATCTCTTTATCTACTTTAAAAGTAGTATTTTTTTCACTAGACAGACCAGAATTATTGCTTCCAGAACTTAAACCAAAAACTTTATTGTAATCAGAGTTAAGCTCTACTAGACTTTTTTTAGTTGACGAAAGGACGGAAGTGTTAATATGTTCCATTATGTTTAAGTCTGGAAAAGATTCCTGTCGGTTGCAAGAATTCTGAGAATTGGTTCTATAAAAAAAGTTTAAATATTATAAAAGTTATGAAATTAAGTAGGCGTTTTCTAATAATAATATTTGAAAGGCACCTTTCCTTAAAGGGGTGGCTAACGCAAGTCTGCTCAAAAGTACATTCTTCAAGATTTTAAAAATTAAAAATTATTTATAATACCAAAAAAGCAGTTACTAATATTACTACGGCTTGACGCCACTATGGGCTTGTTTTCCGTAACAAGTCTTGAATAAATATTAGCAGAAGAAAAAATTTGATCTGTGTCAAGTTTAGTTTCCGATTTATTAGATTGCATAAGAATTGGAAAGAAAAGTCTGTGAAAAAAAGTATATATTCATATCAGTGAACAAAAAACTGCTATGAGTATAAAAATTGGTACACTAATATTGTTCATATAGTTAGGATAGCCAAGTTTCAGTACTATTATAAAATAAATTGTATTCTGTGTAAATTTCTTAATTATTAATGTTAACTTTAATATTAATGTTACTAGTAGTGTTACTTATATATTGAAAAATATTTTCTATCTTTATTTTATCACCTTTTTATAGTAGTATGTACATATGAATAATATATAATTCAAATTATCACGTTTAAAATAAATATATTACTTTCATTGCTTTTTGTTATTACAACTTTTTAATAATCTTAAACGCAAACTCTTCAGGATAAATATAGTTAGAGCAGTAACAAAATACGTTTATATACTACAAGAAATTTCATAAATACTACTATTTTTGTATGCCAGACACGCCAAGCGTTGGAAATTAAAGGACCGACACTTTCCCTTGTTCAGCTTGAATGAAAAGAGCGAACCTTCGTTTTTTTAATCTTAGCTATGATCCATTAAGATTCTGATATTCTCTTTACTTTTTCAATTTTAGTAAACTTAAAAAATACATAATAATTTGTTTATTATAAATCGATTTGACGTTATATTAATAAAGCTAAATTTATTTTTAACGCCGCGGTAATTGATATTTTTAGGATTCCTTGAAGAAGTTATGGTTAAGAAGACATGAAAAAAATTCTATGTTACAGCATTCAACAGTTTTAAAAAAAATATCTATTAATTTTAAAAAAAAAATACCCTTTGTACACTTAAGAAAACTATATATTCTATAGAGTGTAAGGCCTGCGCCAAAGCTCCGACTGTATGACATTTCTAGTAAAATGGACAGTTTTATATGTATTAAAGTATATTAAGCTCTTCAAAAGTTATTCTATAATCTATAAAGAAAGATAATAATAAGTCAGATAACTTAGTTGTGTTATATGTTAATTAGTTATTTACAAAAAAGAAAATATTTTTTATATAAAATATTTTACAATTTATTTAAATTTAAGCTAAAATTGTCTAAGGGAAAACGAACAAACTTAATAAGAGAAGTTTTATATAATTAATTGCTTAACTCCCCTCTCCTTAACTATTTATTTTATTTAATCTCTGTTCTTCTTCTCTGTCCCAGTCCCTAAAGGTTAAAAGTTGTAAGTTCTCCTACACTAAGTATTGTTTTTAAAGGTAAATACAGCGTGCACTTAATACCTATCTTTTTAATGGAAATACATAATGTTATAGTAAAATTTACCTTGGGATTCTCGTTGTACACCTGCAAAGCAGCTGAACTAGAATTATGACAGAAAAATAATCTTTATGCAATACTACTGATTCTAGTAAAAATAAACTAAACCTTACGGAAAGAACTTTCAGTCTATCTAATTCATCTTAAACTACTTTCAATTTTTAAGCTATACTAGTATAACAGCTAATCCATTAGGAAATTATTTACATTAAACTCTACTGATGAAAGGACCCTTATTTTTAATTGTATTACATATACAATAGGGAATACAAACGGGATTCCGCGCTTGTGTGGATTGAAAATAAAATTGTAATCTTTTACTACCTTAACCAAAATTGCAGAAATCCTCACAAAACAAAATGAGATCCCTTTCATTCGTAATTTTAAATGTTTTTTTCCTTATGACTCATAACACCGACATGTTCTGTTAAGTATCGTCTGTCACGTGTTATTAACAATAGCCTATTCTGCGAAACGAAACGCTGTTAATTTTCGTCTTCAAATTAATTAAAATTGTTACCGACATACGGATGCTTTGTTTTCTATTACGATGAATGTAGTTACTCGGAATTTTTTTTTTGAAAGTAAGTAGAAAAAACCTGCAAAGTGCAAAGATTGTTCGGGAGTTATAAAATTGAGGTGCTAGGTCGACAAAAGGATTACATACTCATTTGAAAACCGTTCATAAGATATAAGAATTACGAAGGAATTAACACCGTCCAATAGTATTGAAAAGGGAGTGAACCTGGAAATAAATCCAAATGACAATTTTGATGGATCGACATCACTCGTTCAACCAGTAAAAAGGAAATTGGAGAATTATTTTCCATTTATAAAAACGAAAAGCATTGAGGTGATTATATCGCTGTTGGTTGCATTAGATGGTTTTCCACCAATATCTTTTATTACTTGGACGGAGTTAAGAAAGTTCTACGTAAATCAGGGCATAATTTACTGGATTCAGACTACTGTTAAAAACATCGCAATGAAATATGGAAAAATGGAATGATTGAGGAAATTTTTACATTACATCGCCAAATCATAGGTAATTTTTTTCCCCCTTTTTTTATTTGTATTTACAACATCTTTTTTATCATAGATTTTCATTAACGTTAGATGAATGGATCTCTGAAAGGAACTGACGCAACTTAAATGTAAACGTTTATTGCTGTATTAAAAATTCAACTCATGTAATAATTAGGACTTGCTCGGATGAAAGGATAAATACTTGCCGAGAACATTAATCGAAATTTTAGAAAATAGATTAAAGTCGTTTAATTTGTCATTAGAAAAAAATATGGTAGCCATTTGTAATGGTGGTGCTTGTGTAATGGTAATTATGGGGAAACTGTTAAACGCAAAGCTAGGTATCGGAGATTTAAAAATTTAAAAGTCACTCAAAAGTTTACATTGTTTAGTTTACCCTCACACAAGGTATAAATTAAGAAGATATAAAACAAAAAGCTTTGTTGAAAGTGGAGCAGCGGTTCACACGCTCACCCTGAGGAGTAAACCAAGAAGTTACATGATCTATAAAAATGGCATATATACCTTTACACAATAATCTTTAAATTTAGGTTCAAGTGCATTTTCGGAACTTGGTATCAGTACTCAACCTACCCGCACATTTGCTTAAATAAATGATTTCGTCTTCTTGTTAAACAGCAGCTGTGTTATCTTCATGGCCTTCGGTTAGCAGTCTTAGTATAAAAAAAAAAGGAAGTGATAAAGTAAAAGAAGAATTTGAAACTGAGACTGAAAACGAAGGAGTTGTTTCTTCGTCTGATGAAGGACGACGAAGCGTTCACCGAAGTCGAAAAACAAGGTTTTTTAACAGAATTAGTGATTATAAAGAAATATTTAACAACGTCCGTTAAGTTATAAAGTTCATCAGAAAATCATTAAATAATATTTATTTGCAAAATAATGTAAAAGATTAATTTGAGAGAAATAAGTTTGAAATAGGATTGTAAGCCGACACAGACTTTAGTTTTTTTGAAATCCTATTTCCGAATTCGTTAATGTAAGCACTGATGAAAAAAATTAGTTAGCCTTCGATTTTTCTTTTATTTCATCTTTTCATTGATAATTTCAAAATTTTTCTTGAAGGTTTCTGAAATGTTGCTACCTTGAAAGGAATGGAAAGCGTCTAGTGGGATAGGATTTTTTCTCTAACATTTTTCTTTTTAAAATATCCCTTTATAGGTACGCATAATATAAAGCGGGCCTTCATATTAGCATAATAGAAGTTAATTTTTTATTTCTGTCAGTTGCAGACTGTGACAAAAACTAGCAAAACGAGTAAATTTTTTTAGTTGTTTTCGCCCGGGATCAACTCCCTAGATACAATTCACCGATTAACCCCATTTAATATATTTCGAAAGAATATATGAGTTTAGCTACTTTTACTACTTTTATACGGATTAAAGTGAATTACTTTTCTAAATTATTTTTTTTGGGTGTACTGGAATTTACAGATTATTGCTTTCGAGAATTAGTATATTTTACGATAAATATTTTTTTAATATCAGTGTATTGAGTAATTAATCTTTTTACTATTTATGTTATGTTATTATATATTATAGATTTTCATAATTAAAACAATTATTTAATTTTTACTATAGCAAGTCTTACTGATCTGAAGCCCGAAATCCAATTTCTTATAAACCAAAAATTAAAAAATAGTATATATCTCGAGACTTCCGTTACAGGTAGTATACTCTTTGCTAGACGTAAAGATTTTTGTGTCTTCTTGAGGTTTGGCATCGTAAAAGTGCACGAAAAAGATCGTGCCTATATATTCAAAATCGCGTCTACAGGCTCCTTAGTCCTATAAACTTTCCGATGATTGCTCTATAGGTAAGTTGAAAGGTTGTCATCCGTTGGTGGAACACAAGTCTAATGTAGGCTCCTTTCCCTGTCACCCTCTACGACCAAACAGGCGTTACTTTGATCAAAGTCTGTAATTATTTGCAAAACCTGTGAGTTGTAATTATGGTGCCCTCCTTTGGGGAGCATGGGCTATATTATTACATAGATACGTATGATACAGTAATTTTTTCGATCATTTTCAAGAACACCGAATACTACAACCCACAAGTTTAGCAAAAAAAAGGTTGTGCGTTACGCCCTCTGGCGAGTATCCCTCCCTTCACTAAGTAGATATATACATTTAAATAATTTTTTAGTTATTAAAAAAATTTTCCTTCTGTTTTTTTTTGGTCTCTTTTTAAGTGTTTCGCCCTTGATTGCTGACTCACTGCTATAAAATAGTAGTGATAAGTTTTTTGGCAGGTATCCCCTTCTTTATTCTATATATATATAATTTTATAGTAAATAAAAAATTTTCCTTTCGTTTTGTTTTTCGTTTTTAGCCTCTTTAAGTGCTTTTTCCGTGTCTATATTGCATAGCTTCAATAAGAAAAAGAAAATGGAGTTACTTAACACTGTACTTTCTGTAGGTACCGCGTGGTACAATCACGTGATTTCTCGGTTTATTTTTTACAAAAACAACTGGAAAAGAGTTAAACACTTTTTATTCACTACAATTTTTTTTTTACTACAACTATACGAGTTGGGTCATTGCACTTATTGCTTATTACAAAAGAAGATACAAGACAGAAATAAGTGTAATAAAAAAATTTTTTTACTTAAATATTTTTTTTAGAAACCAGTAAACTCTAAAAGCTAAGCTTTTTCGTATATATTTATATACGTAAACATATAAACATAAACATATAAAGTTTATTAATATTTTTATATGGCGCTTCAGCTCATCAAGCATCGAGCGGGTATATCGCGTTTTTCTGAGAAGCAGTAATTCGTTTAGTTAAAATATTGACTATCTCATGAGACCGATTCGACAAGCGGCTCGTTTTTTCTATAACTTCTTGATAAACTGAAGTTCCTTGAGAGCCCATAATAACAAATCCCTAACAAATAATATTAATTATAAATATTTTTATATAAACAAAAAAAAAGTATCCATCAAACTATAAGCTAAGAGCACCCAAGAACAAATATAATAAACCAATAAAAATAATAATACATGGCCAATAAAATTAATTTTATAACAAACAACCCGACACTCATTTATTGGTTCATAAATTAATAATAATCAAATGGTAAATCATAATCAGAAAACACAGTGATTGGTGGATCTTTAATAAACAAACCTCTTCGCAGTCTATTTTAGCGTCGAGCCGAGCGTTGCAGATCAGGTCCACCACCCAAACTTCTGCCTTTTCTTCATCAAAGTTTAACTTTTCTGCTAACATTCTTATAAAATCGTAATAATAATAATACTAATAATAATAATAGTAATAGTAATAAATAATAATAACTTTATGCTGATGCGAGGATTTACTTTGCAGTAGTTTTCAAAAATAAACAAACGCGCATTTTCTACAAAATCTTCTTGAAAAGAGTAAAGAAAAAAATCATTTCGAAGAACCTTAAAAATATTTAATGAAAAAAATTTTATTAGAAGACAAAAAAAAATCGTATAAAAATATTTTATAATCTACATATAAAAATTTTATTATATTAAAAATATTACAAAAACACAAAATTTTTCTCTAAAAATAATTAAAAAAAAATTTATTATAAAAAATTAATAAAAAATGAAAGAATAAAAGTTTATATTAAAGCAAATCAAAAAAATATTTAGAAAAAAAAAGTATTATTTTTCGAATAATTAATAATTAAAAATTTTAATAAATTACAAAAAAATTAACGAATTTTTTTTAAAATTTACTAATTTTGTAAAAAATTTAAATTTAAAAATTTAAAAAATAAAATAATTTTTTTAAAAAAAAAAAATAAAATTCATAAAAAAATAATAAATCTATTATAAAAATTTCCAAAATCAAACTAATTTTCGTAAGGATTTATAAAAATATAAAAATCAAAAAATCTAAATAGTAAAATTTCTTAGAATATGCAAATGTTATATTAAATTTTAAAACTTTTTATAAAGATTTTTTCTTTAAACGACTAAACTCCGCATTACAAAATTTATAAAAAAAATAAAAATTTCTTAAATTATATAAATTTTGTAAAAATTATAAAAAACATAAATACTTATAATCTTTATATATTAAAATTTCTTAATTACAAAGAAAATAACAACTAAATTAACTAAATTTCGTAAAGAATTTTAAAAATATAAAAATAATTTCCGTATAAATCATAAAATTTATAAAAAAATTCTCAATAATGAAATTTCTAATATGAAAAAATCAATTATTAAAAATAAGTTTTTATAAAAATTTAAAATTTTTAAGGAGCTTATAAAAAATAAATTTTAAAACTTTGAAATTTCTATTTAAAAAAAATAAAAATTCGCAGTTTCCAAAAATAAAACAAAAAACCAAAATCATAAAAAATAAATTATTAAAAAAAATCACTAAATTTTTCTTAAATTAAAAAAATTTAAATTTAATTAAAATTTTTAAAAAAAAAGTTTTTTTTCTGCGCTTGCAAAAAATTAATTGTGGAAATTTTTACTTAAAAAGAATTAAAATTCGCGGCTTTCAAAAATAATTTTAATAAATTTTGAATTTTCTAACTGATAAAGAATTCGCATGTTCTCAAAATAATAACAAAAAACAAAATAATTATAATAAATTTTCCTAATTTACAAAAAATTTACAGTTTCGCAGTCTCTCAAAGTTTTCTGCGCTTCGTCAAAGTCGTAGCAAACAAACAAGTAATGGACGAATTGCGTGAGCGGATCGTCGTAATTTCCGCGCTCCTCCTCTAAAACACGTGTCAATTCACCAATTAAATGGCGTTTCCGTTTGCTTAAAACCACAGCAGCGCAAAGGTATCTTTTTTTTTTCAATATTATTATTATTATTGTTATTATTATTATTATTATTATTATTATTATTATTATTATTATTATTATTATTATTATTATTATAATTATAATTATGATTAGGATTATTTTACAATAAAGAGCCCCGCAATATCAGTTCATTTATTTCATAAATTATTAAAAATTTAAATAACTTAATAAAATAAATAATAATAAAAGTTTATATATTATAAAAATAAAAGTAAACTTTTAAAAACTTTTAAAAACTTAAACTTAATTATTTTTTTTTAATTTTAAATTTACAACTTTTTTAAACAATTAAAAAAATTTTACCAAATTTGTTTACTGTTTTTTTAATATTAGATATTTCTATATATTTTCTTGAATATTATATAAAAAGTCAAATATAATATTAATAAAAATTAAAATTTTTTGAAAATGAATTTAAACTTAATTTAAAAAAAAATTTAGATCAAAAAAAAAATAAATCTTTATAATTCAAAGTTCACTACACAAATTTATATATAAATTTTGGCAAATCTATAATTTTACTTTTTAAAAAAATAATAAATTTATTAAATTTGATTATTTATTACAAAAAAAATAATTAATTTTATGAAATAATTATTTTAATATTTAAATTTCATTATAAAATTATATAAAACTTATTTATTTCAGTGCTTTAGTTTTCCTTTCTAATAAATAATTTTCTTATAATTAAAATTTCAAATTAATGTCAAAACAAAATTTACTTCAAAAAATAATAAAAAAAATTTTTTATAAATTTCAATAATAAAATTATTAAAAATTTCCATTCATTACTGTAATTTTACTTTTTACTAAAAAGTAAAAACTATAATTAATTAATAATTTATTTGTTAAATTTATTATAAATAATTTAATTTTGAAAATGAAAAGCAAATAATTTCATTACGAAATTTATTTCAAAAAATTACAAAAATTATTAAAAAATAATCATAAATATTTCTATAAACTTAAATTTCCATTAAAAATATAAAAATATAATAATACTAATAAAAATTTCAAATTTCAAATTCAATTTTATATTTTTTTTAAATTTATAACAAAAATAATTATTTTTATATTTAAATTTCAATAAAAAAAAAATTTATAGTTTCTTTCGTTATTCAATTTTACTTTCAACTAATAATTGAAAAAATGTTAAATGTAAATTTCACAACTTTATTCAAAATGTTAACTATAAAAAGTTTAAAGTACCGAAGAATATGAGGACACGCCGTTTGAATAGCGTTCAAGTAGTGCGATTGGAATAGTAAATCTACAAGTCCTTCTGGAGTCTGAAAATTTATAATAAAATTAACTGCAATTTTATATAATAAATTTAAATTATATATTTTTTTTAAATAATATAATAAATTCAAAATTGAAATTCTCATTATTAAAAAAAAGCAACTTCTATAAAAAATTAATTTATATTATAAATTAAACTTTTTGGAGTATAAAAAATAAAGCTACAAGTCCTTCAAAAAATATTAAATTTTTAATATTTATTATAAAAAAATAATTAATTTCTAAAATAAAATTCCTAATCTGATTTAGAAAAAAAAATTATAAATAAAAATTCTCGAGACAAGTCCTTCTGGAGTACTAAATTTATAGTAAAATATCAACTTCAATTTTTTAAATAAAATTTAAATTATGAATTACATTTCTCAAAATTGGTTAAAATAAAATTTAAACTTTCTAATAGAAGATTCTCACTCCGATTTTAAAAAATAATAATAAAATGGAAATTCATATAAAAAATAAATCAATTTCAAAATTTTCTTGAAAATTAATTGATAATTTTAATTGAATTCTTATATATAAAATTAAATCAAAAAATCTCAATTATTTAAAAAAATCATAAATTATTAAAATAAGTTCAATATGATTTTTATATCTTCTCTAGATTAATAAAAAATATAAAAAAGAATTCTAAATTAAATTTAAAAGTAAATCATTTTTAAATTATTATGAAAATATTAACTAAATTTAGATGACTCAACTTTATTTGAAAAATAATAATAATTATATATATTTAATTTAAAAGTTTATCTTTAATATAAAATTAAAATTAAAAATTAGATTCTTGATTTCTTAGAAAAAAATTAAATTTATTCAACATTGAATATAAAATTAAATTAATTATTTTTTAAATAAAATTGTCAACTTTACTAAAAAGCTTTAAATATTTAATTTCTCCACTTTATTTTAAAGAAAATATTTATTAAAAATTAAATTCCTCATTTTTTTATTACAAAATTTTGTATAAAATTCAGAATTCTCTTTTTTTAATAATAACTTTATTAGGAAAAATATTAACTAAATATTCTATTTCTTTAAAGTTTCTCGATTTTTTTTAAAAATAAATTTAATTTTCAACTTATTAAAAATAATGTTAATTAGAAAATTAAATTTCTCCATTTTTATAAAAGTATTAATTAAAATATAAATTTCTGGATTTTTTTAATAAAATTTTTTTTTTAAAGAAAACATTAATTAAAATTAAATCTCAATTTTTTTTAAAAAACAAATTATCCAAAAGTATTATTAAATTGATTTCTTTCTACCTTTTCATAATTAAAAAATACAAACAAGCTCCAGTGAATCAACCATGATCGTTGATTTAAAAGTTCCACCGAAGTAAATTCTTGATAAACAAAAATCTTTAAAAAAAATTAACAAAAAAATTTAAAATATTACCAGTAGCTTTTTTTTCTAAAGTTTCTCGAATTCTTAATAAATCTTCATGAGCCGATTTCCAATTTTCTGTTAGAATTTCTGTAGCAAATTTGCCCCAAAGTGCCGAAAATGACTTCTTGAAATTAGTAGACTTTTATAAATTTTATTAAAAAAAATTACTAAATCGCATAAATAAGAAATTTTTGTTATTGCAACGAACCATAATTCGATAACGAACTAAACTAACAGCAGAATTATAATAATCGCCGCAGTTGTACTGAAATTGAGCATATTGATAGTAAATGTCTAAAAGTTCTGGTTTAAAATCCTAAACATTCAGAGTTGATAAGAAAGAATAAAATGCTTTTCTCAAAATAAAAATTTAAAACTTTATTAAAAAATATAATTATTAAATAAATACCTCGCATTTTTCCTTTAAAATACTCAAATTCCAGTCTCTATCACTTTTAAATAAGTTTAAATTTTCTTCTGTATCAAGGAAGTTTATGATGGTATGAACTTGATTTTCTAATTCATGAAGCTTCGATAAAACTTGATTTCTTCTTTCAAGTAATTCTAATAAACAATGGTGTATAATAATAAGTCAAAAAAAAATTAAAAAAAATAACCTGAAGGAACCTCCTCAGAGTTTCCCATCTTCATTTTGTATACATCTATATAAGAATCGATAACATTTGTTTTTTCGAGCAAAGCTAGTTTAGCTTCAAGTATATCTTCTGCATTGTAAAGTTGTTTAGCCTCTAAAAACTGATATAAAGGCAAAACCAAGTGTCTATCAAGAAAAGGACTAACTTTATTAGTTAAGTCGTATTTTGCAGCCATAATAAATAGTGAAAATCTCGAAGAGTGTAAAAAGTGTGTAAAAGGTAGGGCGAGGTAGGCAGATTTCTCACGTGGCCGGTCTTTAACATTTTTTAAAACTCTTTTTACTTTTATTATTGCTTAACAATATACACGTATTATAATTTATAGTTTCGTTCTTTTTATATAATAAAAATAAAACTTTTGTTATAAAGGTAATTTATTTTGGAATTTGTTGGAATCTTCAGTTTTTTTTACGAAGGATTAAAGGGACTACTTAACACGAAGACAAATTAGAATAGTTTGATAGAATATTGACTTTTTTAAACTACTTATTTGCGTTGTAATTGGAAAAGTAATATTAATATTATAACGGAAACGTAATAGTAGTCTAATAGGAATAATAAAAGTAATATTTTTAGTTTTGAAAGAATGGTAATCGTAGAAAATAAAATTTTTGTATTGTTAACTTTTCAAGCATATTTTTCTGTTTATTAATTTAATAATATATATATATTTTTTTTTTATCGTTAACATAACCCAAGGCAGAAAAAAGCCTACTCTTCTAATCAGCTTCTTTGAGAGCTTTATCTCGTGAAAAGGATTTCTACTTTAATATTTTTGTTTGCAAAGTTACAACTTAAATACCGTTAACTTTCGATGATTTTTTTTGAAAACTTAAACTACATTTTACAACTTATAAACTCTGGTACCCTTTTTAGTCTCAGTGGAAATCTGTAAAAGTAGTTTTTTGGATCATTTAATTCCTTGACGCCACTTGTATGATAATAACTTAGTTTTATACTTCTTTTTTTAAATGCGTATAAAGTAAAAATAGTCCTTTCTATTTCAAATTTCGAATTTGAATTACAAAGTAAAGAGCCAAACCTAAAGCAATTGTTTATAAGTGCTTAATTCTTAACTATATAAGCGAGCTTAAAACATAGCTTGATCTTGAACCGGCTACAAAACTGGAACTTACATATTTTATAAACTTTCGGGTTGCTTATAATTTACACTTTTTCTTACTTTTAAACAGAAAAGTATGCTAATCCAGAAAGTAGCATTAACTTATATTATACTATAAAACACTCAACGCCCGGCATTATTGCCGAAAGTAAGGCTTATAAACCTCCCTACAATTACTACTTAAGAAGGAAAACAAGTACAAATCAAAATAAATTATATGGTGACGCATCAAGGTTCAACTAAATTAGCGCTCTCTATGTTGTCTATTATTATTTTAGTAAGTCGAAAAAAACAAGGCTGTTAGCCACAAAAATCTGAATCTTATACTTTTAAAAGGTTTCTAACTGAGCAAAACTTTCTGTGCTTAGATTAGCATAATATAATTTATTGGTATTATGTTTAGAGATAAAGTTCCTCGGCCCCATCATATAAGCGCTGCTGTTAGTAGGCAGTATTGCTAAGAAATATAGTTAAAAATACACTTATTGAACAAAAAAAAAATTAGTACTGTAACTTATAATATATTTGAAACTATAACTTAAAAAGGTATTGGTGTCTAAATTGTTAAAAAATCGGAAATTGGCTACTTTTCTTCGTTTTCGCTTAACTTGAGAACTTCCTTCCGCAGGGGCTCACCTCTTACGATATCAAAATAGCTGTATAAGTTATGAGTTCGGCGAGTCTGCGTTTCTTCTATTTAATCTGTTGAATTTCTTATCTTTTTTATAAATTAAGTTTATTTGGTCAATTCTTATTTTATTAAAGAAAAAGAATTCTATTTTAACACTTTGCTTTCTTCGTAGAATACCAACTTTAAAGTGTAATACTCCCTAACTATTTTTGAAAAATACACTTGTAATTATGAATTATAGAATAGAAACTAAAGTTTTATTTGTGCTTATACCTTCTCACTCTGCTTGTTATGTGGCGCTATATATTCGAATTGCTAAACCACACTATAGAAAATCTGTCTCATTATTATGAAACTGTTTAAACTTTTTAATAACCTTTTGCTTTCTATTGACTCTCTTATTAGAATTTAAATTTTAAGGTTCAGTGGCTCACTTAGACTCAAAACTTAAAATTTATACCGAATAAAACTTTTTTTTTTTCAACTTTCCTATGATCATATAATTTAACGAACAATCGTTGGAAGTTATAGGTGCAAGTTGACTATATCCTTATGTGACGAAACAACATTTAAGCAAAGTAAATGGTCGAGTTTTGAGGAAAATACTATTTTCAATTTGTTTCCTTACGAAATTGAATAACACTGGGTTTACCTGTTCAATAAGCCTAAATAGTTGCTGCAAATTTTTTTTCCTCTTATAAAATAGATCGCCTACTTTTTCTTTGAAAAGAGGTAAAGTGGCAGTAGCTTTCTATATGGAAAAATAGTGTTTTCCATATATCTTATATAGCATTTGCACATCAAGGACTGCAAAAGGAACAATAATGTGGGCAAGATAAAAAAAAGAGTTAAAGTTTAGTTTAAACCTGTATAAAGTAAAGAAGGGTGTCACGCTCTTCAAGTTAATATTTTTATTAGTAAATTCGCTCTTCGGCTACCTTGTACGATCTAAGCTCTCCTTAAGGAACTCTAAATCAGAGAGACAACCTAATAAATAAAAAACATCTCGCTAATATTTTTAACTTTCAATATAATAGTTTAATTAGAAAATTCTTCTTAATAATAAATAAACTGGTTCGGCTGTAGTAACTATGATACTGTAACTAACGAATTAACAATCCTACCGCTAAGTTTCTTACAAGAAAGTAGGAAGATGAACAAATGAGCTTCTTCGTTTTGGATTTAAGAGCCTTAATAAAACAGCAGCAGTTAGAATTGACAATTGACAAAAATCTTATGTCCAGAAAGAAGCAACTAAGGGGATACCAAACTTCGCTAAACTACTTTAACGGTTTGTAGCTAAAGACCCAAGGTAATCTTTTTCTATTTAGCAAAAAGTAGGAGAAGAAAAGAGTTGACTTTTTCAATAATTATTCTAAAAGCACAGTATACGTTTATAGTCATCTAACACGAAAACGAAGTGGATTAGGCTTGTATGCTACCATTAAAAACACTAGCAACTTCGTAGTTTATCTACTTGTACACGTTTTAAAAGAAACCATTTTCGATCATCCGTGTAGATAGCTTGGTTTGGTAAGAAGACTACAGGATCTCTTTCAAAGCTGATAACAAGCATACTAGTATAAGTTTTCTAAACTTCCCTGGCAGATGCCTTTACAGAGTAAGGGAGAGTAAAAAGCGTTAAAAAATGATCGAACCTCTAGTAAAATGCACAGGAGAAGCTTACATGTATTTTACGACGATTGACTTTGGAAGAACGCTGTTCGAGCTTAAGTTGACGCTCCATGTATAACTGCAGAACAGGGAGTTGTTTTTTTAATAATATAGGAACCGATAAGCCCTAGTAATTTAGCTAAAATAAAGTACCATGAATTTTGCCAACGTCGGTTTCTGGTTATTATCGTGCCCTGGACCAAACTGATTAAGGATGGCCATGTACCTCAGGAAGTGTTAAGTATTCTACGCACGATAAGAAACGGATTACTTTAGAAACTATAAAACCTCAAGCTGGTAATAAGCCTTAAAAAGGTTTTAGAATGCCTTGGGTTTATGCAGGAGAAATTAACATTCCCTGTAAACAGCGTGTCTTATTCGTACAAGATCTTAGTATGTTAGCATTGGAGGCTTTCATTGCTGTAGACTAGTCTATTTGACAGTTACTGACTTAGTAGCGGAATTGCCGGGCCTAAACTCAGTGATGTGGTTTGGTCACTCGAGCACTATTTCTTATTATTAATGAGTGATGTCTGGACTTAAGCTAAGTTTTTATAAAGTTAGATAACTGCGAGCTAAGTATTATTCTAATAATAAGTGATACTAAATTTAACTTTTTGCAACGATTCTAGTTGCTACCTAACTAATTTAAAACTGGTATTAAAATTTTGGAGCAAGTACTTACAATTTCTGAAACACTCCTAGCAATGCTCTAATATGGGTTCTTTGTTAAATAATGTTATTTGCTAGCAGGTACTAGATGAATACTGCGGTATTACATATATAATGCCTTCAGAACCCGTATATAATGTAAAGTCGTTGTTTCAACGGCGCCGCAGTAGCTTGCTTTTTTGGCTAGAGCGTCCAGCAGTGCACTACGTTTCGGCGATCTATTAAAGATCCATTTTTAGCAACCGCGCAGGTGTTAGATAGTAGTGGTAGTCCTGACTGTTAGATTCGACCTTGCTAGTTTTCATTAATTAATTATACGCCATTTGGCAGAGTTAGACTTGCTTTATGTTTTTAGAATACTAACGTACTAAAAGCCTTGTAAAAGAAAAGCTTGTGGACAGTACTCGTTTAACAGTATTCTTAGCCCTTAACGCTCGCCCTCATGTCAATAATAATGATATAATAATCACTTTATCCTTTCATAAATAAAATACATCAGGAATGTAGTTAGCTTTACTACTAGTCATGTCGCCCTATATGGGTTTTCGGTTTTCTTTAAATTATAAATAATGCAGCTTCACCTATTTCTAAGAAAAATTGGCGAAACTACGGAACATTATAGTTATGATATTTTTCTTTCGTACTCTTATTAAATCATGTTCTCGTGTACGGCAGAAAGTTAGTTGTACTCAGGTACCATTTAAAAAAACTACTCTTAATTATGCAAAAGTTTGCTGTTGGCCAATATCCTACGTTTGAAAAGGCCACAATGTCATTCAGAACATTATGTTGCAGTTTAAAACTCATCGTTGTGACTAAAGTAGACATTCTCTATATTGTTTGCACGTATTATAATTGGCACTTCTTCTTGAGACAAGTGTTTTTAGTTTTAGACAGAAAATGCTGTTTAAACAGGTTAAGTATATGATACCACCATAACGTTCTCGAGAGTTCATGTCGTAGCTCAGCGGTTAAGAGCATTGACTCGCAAACTCAAGGTCGTGGGTTCGATTTTCACCGACGCGATTCTCCTTTTCGGTCTAGATGGTCGCGTATGAAACCTCGCCCTCATAAATTCTTAGAGGTTTCGGGTAGCTAAGTTAGACAGGTATTGGAACTGTTTATGGTAGTAGGTAGAACGAACGAAACGGTTGTACTACGTAGCTTTGGAAAGGAGGCATATCTATTGTGATGGTAAAAGTACTGTTACGGCTATAGTTTAACGGTTTTAGATAACTTCATCGTAGAAACAGGGAAACCTGCCTTAACCGTATTTTTTTAGCGTTAATTCGTTTATATATATTCAGTAAACTAGCTACCTAGTAGATGCTTACACTATTAATATAGTGTTACCTTTTACTCATATAAGTATGGGCGGAGGTGCCTAATATTTTAAATTTTAGAACTTTTATTGTTAAGGTATATTTGGTAACTATTATTTTTTGAGAATTGTCTGACCACAATGCCTATGCTTAGCCCGAACAGTTGACAGTGAAGAACTTTATAGTCACCCAAGTGCAGCACGGTTTTTCAATTTATCACTAGTATTTTTAACTTATTGAGAATATTTAAGCGACTTTTTAATTAATGAAACTTTTTAGAAGATAAAAGTTTAGTCAGAAGGGATACCTTAACCTCTGTATCATTACTTTTGTTTTAGGCTCCCTTTTAATAGCACTAAGTTCTTTTTTTAAATACCCGAAATTTTACCTAACGTTAGATAAACTTAAGTAACACTGTGAACGCAGCTAACTAGAGGAGAGGAAGGCCAATTAGCTTGTTCCAATAATTATAGACTTTAATTTTTTAAGTTTAAAAAAATTAGAATTCAACTTAGATTAGAAAAATACTTCTAACTTCGTTATTATTTTTAGGTAATAAATTTACCCAAAATTTTATAAAATTCTTATATTGACCTAGCGATCTACAGTCAGTTCTCCTATTGCAAGCCCGATCTACACCACTAAGGTAAAAGTAGCTAACTTTAGCTATGGACTTGTATCGCTGAGCTAAGCTCTCTAGCCAGGGACCTAACTGATCTAATAAGCAAAAGTACGTTTCAAGTTATGGAATGAAAATTTAACCTAATATTAACCTCACTTAAACTAAGCGATTTAAAAGTCTAGAACTATTAATAGACCTAATTTAATGCATAAAAACTGATGCTAATATAAATGTGTGTGTCAACCGCTTGTAGCTACTCTATTAATATCGTACATGCACCAGAGCACCTTGATTTGTAAGGACTTACATATACATCGTGAAAGTAAACTTAAATTTTATGCTAACTTGTTTAGAAACAATGTTAAAAAACATATTGAATTTCCAGCTCTCAATCTAGTTATAAAAGCATCGTCAACCACAGCCTTAGTGGTAAACCAAAGATAAAAGACATTATACATGTTTTTATTAATTAGAACGTTTATAATAAAAATTATAACCTAACTGAAGCCGGTTTATTGATTTATGCATCCACTAAAGAAAAGGCTTAGAGAATGACGATCATCAAACTTAAATTAAAAGTCTTAACTACCCTTCTAGATAAAATTCAAGCTTCCTTCACCAATTCAATAAATTTTTTTAGCGTCCTTGTAAGTATTACAAAAACACTACATTTTAAAATTAAAAAAATTGACCTATCAGAAAATCCTCTTTTTTGTATATTTTTCGTTGACGCGTATAATTATATAAAAATATTAAAATTACTATTATTGAAATGTTAAGTTGCGCTTAATTAATAGAACGCTTAAAGTTTACATACGTAGATACAAATTTAAAGTATCTAAAGAACAGAAATATTTTCTCTCCTCTTTAATTTTAAAGGTTGGAGTTAAAATATCTTTATATTTATAATTTTATTAAATTTTTAGATTATTTCAATTCTTATATTTACAAATTGTTTTTTCTTTGTAAATCTTTTTGTAATTTTTTTAGTTCTAATTTCATAAAAAAATAACACAAAAATTGTAAATTAATTAATTTTTTTTTTAATAAAATAATGAATATAAATTATCAGAAGAAATTTATCCTGAATTAAAAAAATTAATTTTTTTTTTAAATACAAATAATATATAATTTAGAAAATATTCCTCTAAAAATATAGTTATTTTTTATTAGAAGAAATTATTATTATCAAAAAGAGTACTCATTTATTATAAAATTAAATAATTTTTTTAATAATTAAGAATATAATACCTTAACTTGAGTGCCAATTTTCTTCTATAAAATTACGGCCGAGCACATTTTAAAAATCACAATTTTTCATTTATTTTAAGTTGAGTTATTAAAGGATTTGCTTCCCGAAACCTCTTTAAATATAACTTTGCCTGCTGTCCAAATTTAATTAAATAGTTGAAAGTAAATCAAGGTAATATTAAAGCTAAAGGGCGCTAACTAGTTTGTAAAGCTTTAATAACGGACCTTAGCTAAAGCTGGATCTTCCACTCAGAAGATATAGGCCTAAAAATAATATTAGGGTTTTTTAGTATTGTTTTTACTAATTCTTCTCTTAGCATAATTTAAATTAATTAAGGCAAGTACTAATAACGATGTGTTGATAAATAGTTCTTAATATGAGTGGTCTCAGGCCAAATTCAAGATGGTCGAGCTAGATGTGCATTACAAACATAAATATACTAAGTTCAGAGGCTTTTTGAAAGCTAGCACGCTTTTCAGTAATTACCTACTGTTACATTTTTTTCCTGAGCAATTGAAAGATCTTAATGTAATGTACCATTATTAACCAATTAAAAAACGCTTTACACTAAAGTTGGAAAAGTTTGTAACTTTAAGGTATTTATAGAGCCACCACGACAATCTATAAATATATACGTAAAGCAGTCAGGGGAGTATTTGATCCGGTAAGGGCTACGCAGGCCCCCCACCTTTCTCCCCCGTTAATTTTTTTAAGTTAAGAAATTCTTTTAAAAATAAAGTTTCTGGAGTTCTTAAAGAGCTTTTGGTAACGAGGTCTTTTATTATAAATTAAAGGCCTCTCCTACTGCCTTTTTAGAGACCAGAAAGCGAAACTGAAAAACATTTATCCCGTCGCAATTATAAGGAATTTCACACGCTAGTTTACCATTGTCTGATGGATTCAGCGAACGTAGAATCTTATTAAACAAAGCTAATAGGCTCTACCCCTTGAAAAATTTTAAAAAATTAAAAAAAGCTAGGATTTCTCATTTAAATATCGGGAGTTGAGTAGTTCCTTAACTTAAAAAATATATGAAATCAAAACCGAATTGTGCTAAGCTTAATAATGTTATATCATACTAAAAGCTATTTAACAATTATAAAAAGGTAATACTGATCGTTTAAAAAACGGAAAAAATAATACATTATAAAGAAATACCAAGGAAAATAAGAGGAGATGGACGAAACAAACAAACAAGGACTTTGGAATAGATCCTGCAGCAACGAGAGTATCAAAGAAGAAAGGCTATACGGAACAATAATAATGAACGATTTACAACAAGGAAGCATTAAAATTAATTATATAACAATGAACTAACAAGGAGCACACTAGAGAAAGGCTTAAAAATAGGAAAGAACCAAAGCTCTTTTTCTATAACGCATTGAAACGAGCTGTACTTTCGAAGCAAACAGACACGGATTTTTATTAAAAAAA